GTGTAATGTAATGTCATTCGAAAGCAATCTATTGACATTTGACATCTCGTATTTTGATTGACTATTGATTAAATGGTCGTCATCTGGAATGCTTGTTCACTAAATATGAAAAACTCGCCATAAAAATCATATTTCCTGTTGAATTTTCTATATAAAAATGTGCCATCGAAGTACATCATGAGTATATAAAGTGTCCAATGACAAAATAAGAGCAATAGTAGCTTCAAATGCCCCCATCACAAGGGGAGAAAGAAGGCGAAGTTTCGAACTTTTTCTTGAAATATCTCAATAAATAGTGGTTTGTTTACATTTTCATTATAAAATTCGGTTTATCAGACAAAAATACGTGAGTACCAAAAAAAATTTTCAAAAAAAACCATCGCATGATAAATGCAGTTTTACCCTATTAAAAATTACGGTTTCAAGTGTAACGATCCACTTGGGTGAAAAATCCAACAACAGAAAATTGAAAACACTCACTGGTTATTTTTTCAGGTAATAAGAATTCTTCAAGGTAAATATAGGTAATTGTAACAAACGGCATGTCAATCAAAATAAAATACATTTTCCACAATTTTCTTTCGATCAATCTCACGATAAGTTTATGTTCTGCGGGCCCTGCATAAGTAGGTGTGAAGTTTACTTTCACCACAATTTTTGCCAATATATTTAATTCGAATGGGTTGCTGTAGGTGGATATTTGTGTTTTATCCTGGTTTTTGCTTTAAAACTTCGTTTTTCCATAATAAAATCGAATGGGGTGCGAAGAAGGGCTCAGTTGACGACTGGCATCCTTTTTTAACCGGAAGCCCTTCAAAAAACAGGAAAATCGGCTCAATGATGATCTAAAACTAAAATCGAAATACGCGGTCGCCTTATAGCGCTATAAGCGCTTGTCGTTTCGAGCCTCTGGTTAGGCCTCACTAAGTGACGTCACCCACGGAGCATGCAGGCCTTGTTGTATCCGGTTGTATCCCAGCATTTATTGCACAAGAGGCGTACGGCATCCGTGAGAAGGACACGAACGCCACCTAAGCAGAAGAAAAGAAATTTCCTTGAAATGCGAGTGGCTGGTTATCCGACTAGCAAGATTTCATCTAAGACAAAGCCAAAATGCTCAAAGTGGGATGACATGTTAAATAAATACGCGAAGTTCAAATTAATTTCCACAAATGTTCATAAATGAGCGAAATTGGTAGATAAAGAGAAAAAATCATATACTTTCCTGGCTATATTCCACGCAAAACATTGAATTACATCGTTCCGAATTCTATGCAATCATTCGTAAAGACGAATAAAATCGCGTGTTTCCTTCCTGAACGCTGAGCTGCGCTCAAGTGGTTCAGGAACGCATGACTACCTGCAGACCGATGAGGATATTTCGTGAATGTATAATTATATTACTTTTCATACCCGATTTGGAAATGTTATGAATTTTCTGAAATTTGGTCAGGGAAGTGGGAAATACGTTGGACTAGGAACATTTCTTCCCTAACTTTTTTTTACGTAAAAATAATGCTCTGGTTGAGTTTCGATAGCACTCACTATTTTCGAGATAAATCGACTTTGAAAGTCTGCTGTTTTTTTATCTCTTGGAGCGCACGAAAGGAAATTCCAATGACTTTCTAAGAACATCGTGTGTACCTAGAGAGGATTGGGAGAGGAGTTTGGTGTTGAAATTTCTGTTGAAATTTTGGAGGTCATAAATTCTTGGGAATTCTCTCATTTGCAAATAGTTCCATAAATAGTGTACCAAATTCGCCCAAAAATCGTGTTTCGATGTAAAATAACCTTTTTTCAACATATTCTCGTGGTGTTTGATTCAAAATAGGGGAGAAAAAATAAATATAATGAATTCAAAAATATCATAATAGGTACCCTATTAAGAAAAAGATGGAAAAAGTACTATTTTTATTACGCACATCCGAAATCGGTTCATCAAAACGAAACAGGAGTCTCCTTTCTACGTGAAAATTATAATTTTTTTCATATTTCCTTGTCAAAGTGCCAAAAATTGCATAGAAAAAAAAAGTTGGGGGTAGAAATGTCCTCAGCCCCACCTATTTCCCATCCACTGATCAAAATTTTGGGAAATTCTTGACATTTGCAAATCGGACATGAAAAGTAATATATACATGTACAGGGTGCGCCTCCTAAAATGGAACCTCCCCCTCAACTCTCTTGTCTTCAGAGATGTGAGAAAAAATGTGAAAAAAAAATTGTTTGAAACGACACTCTCATTTCAAGAAGTTGTTTTATACACAGGGTCATTCGTTTTTGCGGAAAAGACATCAACTTTGATTTTTTCAATGAAACACCCTATATATTTTCTAACATGTCGATAGAGATTTCTTTCTGATTTCAAAAATATATATGTATTGCATATTTGAATGGAAAATAATTGAGTTATTGCTGATCAAAGTTTACCAAAATACCGCATCTTCCATTGATATTTTTTTGAATTCAAGAAAGAAAGATTTCAATCTTATAATATTTCCAAAGAGCCCAAACAATATAAACTGGTCAACATTGATAACGTCGTGCTCCAAAATATAGCCTCAATTCAAAGTAGAATAACTCACGAACATCCTCACCAATTTGAAATCGGTTTTCACCGATGATTAGCCTTATCTCTTGACAGTTCGTTGTGGCAATATGAAATTTCTGTAATTTCAAATAACATTGCTACAGGGTGATAATTGAATGGGTGTAAAATTGCATCGTGGTCTTACCGTTTGAACAGATAATTTTTTCAATTTTTGTTTCCACCTGTATCCTCTTGATTGATGCTTTCTCCCAAAACGTTTTCGGAATTTTCAAATTCAGAGCTTTGGTAATCGTGTTATGAATATATATTCAGAATGATGCATTTTTTCGAGGATTAATTGAATGAAATAGAAAGTTGGAATCATTCTCCGAAGAATAAACGTTGTATGTATAGTCGTCGGATATGTGATCGTGTTCGAACATAGAAAATTCTGAAAAAGTCTATACAAAGTGATTACAAGAAATACTGAATGATGGAATGGAGAATAACGTAGTCTTCAGTAGATGAAACATAATTTTCTCTGTGTTACTAGTGGAATAATTGAGTGTTACTTCGTCATGAGGATGTCTGGTGTCTGACCTCGACATGGTTTTGTAATTTCTTGGATCGAAGGTCATATAATGAAAGTACGCATTTTTAATCAAAATGATGAAGACTTCGTTGGCAATAACTCATCTGTATCGCATCTGTAGCTGAACGCAATTCCACTGGATCGAAAATGACAGTAACGCTCTATCTGTCACTCTGAGAATTACACTAACTAAACTGGGCGTCAATTGAAACGCTAATAGTGAAATTTGGCATCAAGTTTGATTTCTCGTGATTTCTAAAATATTGAATGAATTTTGAATTGCCGCCCAGATTCTGAATGCCTTTTTCATCGTCTTTCGAACCGTTCCTTACAGCTTCTTCTAAATTGATCAGGGCCCGTGATGATACAGGGTGAAACAAAGTTTCGTGCATTTGAAAAAAAAAATTCTCCCCCCCCCCCCCCATTTTGTCGAAAGACCACGATGCTCATATTTTATTCAGGCATTTCATAAATAGTAACCATACCTTGGGAGGTTTTCGAGTATCTTCCAAAAACTACTGTGGTTTCCAGAAAAAAAATCGTATTTTTTTTAAATGGACTAATTTTAGAGGGGTTACATAAATGGATGCTTTAGCGCATTTCAGGAAAGCGTTGGGGCAGATATGTATACCAGGTTACTCAAAAACAATCAATAATTCATTACTTCGCAGTCTATGATAAAAGTTTCCTACCTCAGTGAGCAGTAAATCAACACATCTCATCAACAAAAACAAACAACGATACCTTGTTTCTATAACAACGTATTTTTGAAACAATGTAGGTATGCATAGAGGTTATACCAATTGCCAATTTTCATGAAAACGTCAGTGTAATTCGGGTCCTAAAAAATTTAAAGATGCCTCGTTCAAATCGGGTCGAAATCGAAAATATCATTAGGTAAGATCACTATAGTGATATAAACTATAATTCAGTACAGATAATTATTATTTCAGGTTACGACGATTAGGATATACCCAATTTCATTTAAGTACCATTTTCAATGAGTCAGTCATGACAATAAATAGACTGATTCATCGTTTTGAGGATACAGGTAATCAGTCCATTTAAAAAAAATGCAAAAAACATTTTTTTTTCGGAAACCACAGTAGTTTTTGGCAAAAACTCGAAAACGCCCCGAGGTATGGTTGCTATTTATGGAATGCCTGAATAAAATATGAGCATCGTGGTCTTCCGACAAGATGGGGGGGCGGAGAAATTTTTTTCAAAATGCATGAAACTTTGTTTCACCCTGTATCATGGGTCCTGATCAATTTAGAAGAAGCTGTAAGGAATGGTTCGAAAGACGATGAAAAAGGCATTCAGAATCTGGGCGGCAATTCAAAATTCGTTCAATATTTTAGAAATTACGAGAAGTCAAACTTGATGCCAAATTTCACTATTAACGTTTCAATTGACGCCCAGTTTAATTTGTGTTTTGATTGACACGACAACAATCAGATCAATTGAAGGCTATAGGAAGATTTATATAATAATCAATTATTATTTCTCGAAATTTCTTCATTTTCACAATAAATAGTGCAATTTTATGGATGAATTCGTACAAACTTACTGAATAATGCAACAAAAGACCTAAAAGTTTCATATTGTAACACCCACCACTCATATTTTGTGAAAATGTTATATAAGTGTTCTACCGCACTAGTGTGGGAAAAAATTTCCCGCACTACTGCAGGAAAATGACACTTTCCAAACTAAATTGCGTGCGGGTATAGGGTGGATCACGCAAGCTTCTATAAAAAAAATTGCGATATTGCATTTTCGTCAAGTTCCGTGTTAGATATTAATATCTTCATTCGTCAGGCATCGCAGTGGCGTCTATCTAGATACAAAGTGATTTGATACATCACCCGCTCGTTCCAGGTCCAAAATCGGAAACCAGCACACACCATGACACCTTTCACCACCACCTCGCCAAAACAACAGCTCCTTCCATCTACCACCACCAGGGGGCCCATTCATCGCCCGCCGCCAACTTGGACGGTCTCTACTCCGCCTATCAGCAGCACGCCGGCTGCCTTTACTCCAACGCCCTGTACGGCAAGATGCAGGGGGCTAGGGGAGCGCCCTTCGCTTCGGCTGACGCCCAACGCCCACAATTGGCGGTGGTGAAACAGGAACCGGCGGACGGCAACAGAGGAGAATGCAACGGTGAGTTGCTTGTTGCTACCAAATGTTTCACATTTTAATTATACAGGGTGTTGTAACGTTATTTACTCTGAGATGTCATCTTGGCACTATAAAGCGGGTTCGTTGATAATCAATAACTCGGGCGCCACCTATATTATAGTGGTAGGTCCACTTTGCACCGGGCAACTTATCAGTGGAGAAAGTATAATCCAGGGGTCATAAGTTACTATCTGTCAAAGTGACTGAATGTAGGTTATTTTATTTTGTCTCCGGATCATAGGTCGCGTGCAAGAACTGTCAGATGACCGACCCTGGAGGCAAAATATATTTGTTTACAAGTGATCGAAATAGTTTTCCACAATTATTTTGGCATATTATGAATCGTATTTTTCCGCTATTCATCAATTCGCTAATGCCATCACATTGTGCTGTTGTAAAATGCACAAAAACTGCAGCGGAAGATGAAGAAATCCGGATGGTACATTATGATTCGAAAGTAAGTACCTACTAGTCACTCACATAATTTTCATTTTTGAAATTTGGTTATTTCTCTGATTTCTCATCGGAATTCCTTCTGCAATAGGATCAGCTAATAGAAATATACCTGAAATTTCTAGAATAATGCAAGGAGATTGAATTCATGCAATCAATCGGTAGGACTGGTCTGGCATGCTGACGATCGTTTGTGTTGTAGACATTTTCAATCTATTAGCAGCATTAGCTTGTATTGCAGAAGTGGCAGAAGGCAGAAGGAATTTTAATAAGGAATGACAACATTTCATAATGCTAACTATGTGAGATTACTATTTACCTGAAAAATCATATTCCCTAGTCTCTTGCTGCATTTTTTGTGCATTGTACAACAGCACAATGCGAAGGCATGCTTGAATTAATGAATAACGCAAGAAACACGATTCGTATGCCAAAATATTGTGAAAAACTATTCCAACCTTTTGATTCCTCTGTAACCAAATAAAAAAGTGAGGTTGTGTTTCAATAATTCACAGAAGAATGAGGTTGTGTTTTAATATTTTGCCTCCAGGGTCGGTCTTCGTGCACGCGACCTATTAGTTGCTCTTGGTTATCCTAACCTAACAAATAAAACAAACAATGTTTATTATACATCTATTATTTTATTTTCCAAATATTCACAATAGGCTGACGAGCCAAAGGATACTTATTATTCCCAAATTACTTCCCAATCGTTGAAATATATGCAAACTACCACCTATATATACGAAGCATACTAATTGCAACACCCCCCCTGGAAAGCTTGAAAATTAACTCCGTTTCGCGATGCTATGATCTTCCCGGATTCTCAAAATGTTAATTCACAAATTCATGCAAAGCTCATGAATATATACCATCTAATTTGCAGCAAAATCCATATATGCATCAAAAGCCAAGCCTTATGATTATTAATTGAAGCCGATCTAGCAACAAGCGATAAGTGCAATACAAAACATATCTGGTACTGTCAGCAGGTAAAGGTACCTTCACAAAACCCGAATATAATTCGCTGAATCGCAAAGCACCCCTCCAGCACCATGTCCTCCAAACCGAATATTATTCGCTGAATGCAGGACAGAAGCACCAAGTACCTTCACAGTAAATCGGCTCCGATAGGAGACGATAAGCAATAAGTAGACAACCTTACGTCCCGAATATAATTCGCTGAACGCAATGCAGTCCCCTGCGTGCCGTCCTGCAACCCGAGTATTATTCGCTGATTGCAGGAATGCAGTCATCACCTACCGGAGTGCAGCAAAACACTGCTAGTAAATGCAATATAGTTTCGGCTCACCTAACTGCTTGCGGTATCAAGAAGTTCTTCCTTCGCGGTATCGGCTTTCAGGTCGGTAGCGTCCAGCTGCGGTCTCAGTGAACACTGTCGTTTCTGGGCGCGATCGCGGATTTATTTATGTTTGCCCCACTATTCTCGTCGCGCGACACAGAGGGGCATCGTAGCGCTCATCGATGAACATCTAGACTTGCTTATAGCGATCGCAATGACGTCTTGCCTAATTAATTATTATCAATAATTATACCTATCAAAATACAACCCCGTACATTCAAGATGATGTCAGCAATACTTCCGGTGTATTATGAAACTCCCTTACGAAAAAAAACGGTGTCGATACCTTGTTGGTTAGCGCAATCAGTTCTCAAAACTGATATATACAGTGTGTCCTATCAGAACACTCGAAAATTAAGTAACTTCGTTACAGTGTCCGGAAATTATGCGCAAAAAATCAAGGGGTTGATTCTGCATGAGAAAACATGAAATTCATTTCATGTATACGTGGGTCCGGAAATGGATAGTTTTCAAGATACAGTGTCGCAGGGTATAACATGAAGTTGTAGTCATGTTGTAGCCATATACGTATTAATAATCAATACGGATAATCTCTATCTGTTTCCATAGCGAAACATGAAGCCGATTTTTGAAGACAAATGACTATCCATAAGGAAAAGTTTTGAAACGATCAGACACATACTGATTTGATTGAGAGGCTAGTAAACGTCATTGTCCACCGAAACGCATGTCTTTGATGACTACTATAATAGCGCATGGCGCATGCGTATCATGCCACCAAATCCTTATGGATATTCATTTGTTTCATATTTTTGGCTTCATCCTGGCACCCGTTATGACCCGTATTGTTTATTAATACGTATATGGTTGTAGCTAGGGTCCCTTGATGGAAATTGACATTAAAGTCATCTCAACAGGGTACGGACAGATCCTCGTCTCCTCTCACTCTAAAGCGTTTGTGAAACAGTTATATAGTTCCATCCTTATTCAATTCTGGGGATAAACACTAGATTTTTGACATTCGTTGTTTTTTAGGTTATATTGAGGTCACTGGCGTATCATACGTAATTCCCATATGGAATTCCTCATTCAACTATACCAAGATATAGATGACCAATCCTCTGGATTTAGGGTTTACTACTCCAGCATAACCTTTGCGAGGTAGGGAACATATAAATTGTACTGAAAGCTTATAATGTATTTCACCAAAAGAGACTGTTCTTAGACTGTATACCAGGGATGACTGAATTGACTGAATTAATTCTGATTTAAAGCTGAGCAGTAGTTTATCTATGAGATGAATGAGCAGAGCCTTATGATTGAGAAATGGTGGAAAACATGATGTGGATATCTAAACTACGGTAGGTACTCATGTCATGTGTGCTAAATATATTTTCGGAAATCCAACTCAGAGGAGAATTTATGGAGTTACTAATATCACACTTAGGTATAAAACTTCGTCTAGGACGAGAAGTAGGCTGATAAAAAGAAAAACGTAAAATATGTAGGAAAATAAAGAATAGAATTTACTTCACCTCATTTTTCCGTCTCCATTTTAATAAAACGTCATTTTCGAATAATTTATTGATGAAAGTAACAAATAAGTAGGTATGCGCAGTATAACTTATAGGCACGCTATTTTCACGCTTGCATCCTACATATTTTCTATTTGTGGTAGAGAACTAATTATTATATAAACTAATGTCTTTCGCCATATTGGATCCGTCATCTTGAATTTTCCAATTTTTACGATAAAATCATTATCTCCTACCCCGAATACCCCCAGATACCAATTTTAGATAGAATCGGATCTTCATCACTAAACTCGTCCACCATATTGGATCCGCCATCTTAAATATCCTAATTCTGACGAAATAGTTATAATCTCCGACCCCGAAAATCCCCAGATACCAATTTTGATTTTCATTGGATCCGCTATCCTGAATTTCCCAATCTCCACAAAAAATCACAAATTTTGACCCCGAAAACCCTCAGATATTAATCTTAGATAGAATCAGATCATAGTTAGAAATTTCTTTCGCTATATATTGGATCCGTCATCTTGAATTTTCCAAGTTTGACGAAACAATCATTATCTCCAACCCCGGAAAACCCCAGATATCTTCCAATTTTGAATAGAATCGGATCATAATTACGAAACACGTTCGCAATATGATCTTCCTCAACAAGTAAATACCAGAGATAAGTTATGTAAATACCCTGTACATACCTATTATTGAAATTCAGAATGATTTTCTGTAGCGCCCATGGATGTGACGTGACAGCAATGTCAGGGATGCCAGTAGACAAAACTAAAGTCTCTAGATCATTAAAAAAGAATGCAGCTATGATCTGTCCGTACCCTGTTAGATGACTTTAACGTCAATTTCCATCAAGGGACCCTAGTTGTAGCCATCTTGTGGCAAAGCTCTGAGGATACAGAGATCGCGACACACACTGTATGGCGCTGCCATCTATAGTCAAACGTACATACCCCTACGTCTATACGCTACAGAGTGGTACTACAAGTAAACCACTCTGCTGGAAGATGGCACTACCTGACATACTTGAGTGAAATTTTACCACCACCTATCAGCAGACCGAGAGCGGCTGATGAGACCTGGTGGGTCGAAACAGTACTGTCTTGCTTCTGCTGACAATTGGGGCAAAACTCTGTTTATTAGATCTCTTCGTTATGAGATGAATATTATGTTCTGATGTTTTGATACACTGATTTTTTATCTTTCTGGTGACGTTTTCTGCTATCCAAATCGATGATAGTGTAAACAATAGTAGCTGTTGTCCAGTAATACTGGTTGACTCATGACAGAAGAGTTTTGGCCTCCAGGACAGCCAAAACTATAAACGTCCCTTGTGTGACGGTGAGCCCATGGATATCTTCATGTTACCTACCACATCGAGTGGTTTGGTGATATGAAGAGAGGTTTTTTAATTTCAAATATATTCGTGGAATGATTTGTTTCAAATTGTCTGAATTTAAGTGCTATTTCTGAAACGTATGAATATATCATTTAAAAACAAGGTTTCCTCTTATTACATTGTTCCTCATTTGAGTGATGATTAGAACATAACTCATAACGAGAAGTTTTGGCATATTTCTCTGAAAAAAGACCCAAAGCTATAGTCAATAACGTCAGATTCAAGTCATAATCGAACAACGCATTGACGTCCAGAAGATCTGAAA